ATAAATAAATAAATAAATAAAATCTGGGTGCTGTGGCTCACGCCTGTAATCCCAGCCCTTGGGGAGGCTGAGGCAGGTGGATAAAAATACAAAAAATTAGCCGGGCATGGTGGCCGGTGCCTGTAATCCCAGCTACTCGGGAGGCTGAGGTAGGAGAATCACTTGAACCCAGGAGGCAGAGGTTGCAGTGAGCTGAGATCACACCACGTACTCCAGCCTGTGTTACAGAGCGAGGCTCTGTGTCAAAAAATAATAATAATAAATAAAATAAGCAATAGAAAAAGACACACAGGGCAGGGGCCTGGAGAGACCAGGCACAAGCTTCCATTTATCCTCTCCCAGTGGAATCATATGGACAGTACTTAGCTGCTCTTCAACAGTGTGTGACAGTTTGAACAGAATATTATCTATCAGGGAACTTCACCTAAGTCTTGGTTTTTATCAGCAGCCTGGGGGCATGGGGGCATGGCTGTCCCCCTGTGTGGCTCACCTTAGTCCTCAGCCCTGCCTGAGCTGAGGCTGATACCATAAGGCTCAAGGCCCCCAGGTAAACAAGGACAAGCTTATCAGGCAGGATATTGCCAAGGCCTACCCTTTCTTTAGGATCTGAAGGGTGTGGCCAACTCAGACCTGCTACTTAACCCTTTGCTGCACAGTAAGAAAATCTGAAGGACCTGGAGTGGTCCAGCTCTTATGGATTCTCAAAAGTGACGTGCTAGACTGTTCTAGGATAGGCTCCAATAATGAGGAAAAATTGAAGGGAGGAGAATTAAAATTGAGGATAATCAGCCAGGCATGGTGACTCAAGCCTGTAATCCCAGCATTTTGGGAGGCCAAGGTGGGTGGATCACGAGGTCAGGAGTTCAAGACCAGCCTGACCAACATAGTGAAACCCCACCTCTACTAAAAATACAAAAATTAGTCAGGCGTGGTGGGGAGTGCCTGTAGTCCCAGCTACTTGGGAGGCTGAGGCAGGAGAACTGCTTGAACCCGGGAGTCGGAGGTTGTAGTGAGCTGAGATTGCACCACTGTACTCTAGCACTCCAGCCTGGGTGACACAGCAAGACTCTGTCTCAAAAAAAAAAAAAAAAAAAAAAAAAATTGAGGATAATACCTGACGGGAGATACTGTGATCAAGAAGGTGGTTTTCCAAGGGCAAGGCTTATTCATTAGACTTTAGATGTATGGACCCCTGCGATTTACCCAAATGTGGAAATTTGAATGTACAGTTTGTGGTAGTGAAGGGCTATGTGCTCTCCCACTAAAAGTTAAAAAAAAAAAAAAAATGAACGGAATAGATTCGAGATGAAGGAAAGAAAAATCAAACCCAAAGTTGAGGAGAGGAATAGATAGAGACTAGAAATCCCAGAGGCCAGGCACAGTGGCTCACACCTGTAATCCCAGCACTTTGAGAGGCCAAGACAGGAGGATCACTTGAGCCCAGGAGCTCCAGACCAGCCAGGGCAACATGGTGAAACCTCATCTCTACCAACATTTTAAAAATTAGCCAGATATGCTGGTGCACACCTGTGATCCCAGCTGAGGCTGGAGGATCACTTGAGCCCATCAGGCAGAGGTTGCAGTGAGCCATGATTGTGCCACTGCACTCCAGCCTGGGCGACAAAGTGAGACCCTATCTCGAAAAATAAATAAATGTAGAAACATAAAAAGGGTTCAAGAGAAGGTAGTGAATATTGAAGACAGTAAAGATAATCAAATATACAGATAACAAAAGTCCTCAAAGAAGAAAACCAAAA